AAAATAGTGACCAAATAGACATTAGGGATCTGGAAAGACTGCATCAATGGGTTGTGGCCAATGGGATGAGGTTCAACAAGGCAAAGTGCTGGATCCTGCACCTGGGCCACAACAGCACCCTGACATTTTGCGTTAACCAGGTTGCTCCAAGCCCTGTCCAACTTGAACACTTCCAGTATAACTACAAGACACTCAAACACTGACGTCTCAGAAGAGAGGAGGGAGAAAACCTGGACAAGTATGATTATGGTCAGCAAGGCTTAATAAATAAATACATTTAAACCCAGATACAGCTCTTGGCTTTTCAGGTAACAGTCTGTGGGTCTGGAGGTAATGTTTGCCTTGCATTAGCCGCAGTGATGTGCCAGTGACCCCTGAGAGCTGTAACTGCTGACCTGGCAGGCACAGCAAATCTAAATATTTAGAGTTTCAAAGGCTCAAAGCAGTGAAGTGAGAGCTCTGAGGTTCTGCTGCAGGCTGTGATGTTTCAGAGCAGTCATGCAGGGTGTGTTATTGGGTTTTGTCTGCTGTAATGTGTGCTTTGCATTGCTTCACTCCCAAAGTCCACTTCCTGCCACAGCAGTAGAACTTGTGTAGGTTTAGGTTGCCTCCATTAGAGCTGCATGTATGGTGCGCTTCAGAAGTGCAGAGTGAAAGGGTTTCGGCTCTGCCTTGGTGCATTTACAAAGATGTTTCCTTTAATCTTAGGAAAATTACTGTTAAGACATAAGTTCCAATGGCAAACCTTGCAGACAATGAGACTTCCATGGTATAAACTTCAGGCTTAGGAAATACACCTGGTTTCATCCTTAATAGTGTAGATGCGGGAAGCTGAGGTGTCACTGTGGTCACTTCACTTTAACCTCCTTTTGACCGCCTAATCTTCAAGTGCTTCACAGTGGAAGGCTTTATCTGGCACTGAGAAACACAGACAGTGTGGCAGAGGGTAACATCTTGGGCAACCTGATTTAGTTGAAGATGTCCCTGTTCATTACAGGGGGGTTGCACTACATGAGCTTTGAAGGTCCCTTCCAACCCCCCATTCTGTGATTCTATGATCTTATGAAAGCAAATAGAGAAACTGGAATAAAAAAAGATGTTTCCTCCTTCTCAGGTGGTCCAGGGCTGGAGAACAGTGAGCAGCCCATGGGCAGCATTTGTCTGTACTGGCTCTATGGTTGTCTGCTAGCTTCTCAAGGGACACACAGACAAGAGCTGAAGGGAATCAAAGCTGAGTCTCTGTTGGTGTTTATGAACTACTGATCAAGTCTCAAAGCCTCTGTTAGACTGAGCAAAATCTAGAGGCCTTTCTCCTACCTCTATCAGCTGATGTGTTCTGCATGTGTGATGAGGTTACCCATAGAGAAGAACTTTTAGGTAGCCTTTTGGTTTTGCCAGAGACACACTGCAAGAGCTAGGGGAAAATAAGGAACATGTTGCTTTGAATTTAGTTGGATTTTCTTTTATCTGAAGGGACCATTAACTTTTTGTCTGTCATCTGAATGTGCAGGAAACAAGGGATCAGGAAGAGATCCTCAGTGCTATTTAGCCGCTGTTTAGATGGTTTTCAGCATGTCATGATGCTGTGTGATTTACATTTGAAATGAAAACTCATCTTGTAATTATCAATGTTTCACTCACAAAAAGAAATGATTGTTCTCCCAGTAGTCTGGGAACAGAGCTGACTCCTGATTGCAGGGAGTGAGAGTGGGCTGAAAATAAGCCTCTAACAGGAGCTCTTCAATTTCCTCTTTTCTTAAATAACACGTATCTGTTTGCTGTGTAGACTGAACTGGATGCAACCCCCTCCCTCTGCCCCAAGGTGCTTGACATCTATTACTTGCTGGTAGTAGAGACAAAGTTGAGTCCTTAAGTTGTGAAGAGTCTGTCTCCATCTTGCCCCCTCTCAATATGTGCCCAGATGCTTTTGCTCTCTGCTCTACCATCCCTCTCTAAAAGTCTTCTCAAACTCCTTCAGCCTGGTTCATTGGTGGGGTGCTTTTCTCTTTCAAGAGGATTTTGTCCTCTGTGTGACCATGCCTGTTGTTTCCTTAGCATAGATGAGGCAATAACTTTCCATTTGGAATATGCCAATAGCAGAAGTGTCTTTCGGGTTTGGGAATTTGACCTCTTAAATCTTTTGCAAAGGATGGAATTTTGGGTTCAATTCCACTTTGGCTTCACAAATTCAGTGGTGTTTCAACTAAAGCAACCTGATACTTCAGCTCTAGTCTCCAGTGTGAAGAGAATGTGGTGAAAGACTCAGAGCCCCTCAGAAACCCAGAACTCAGAACACTTCAGGTCTGAGAATATAAATTTGGTTCCACTGCTTAAGTGCACCCAAAGCTGAGGTTTCCCAAGAATGGTTTTCTCAACCCCTGCCCCAAAGGAAAACACTCCTTCTCTTCTTGTTTGCACATGCCCTGTTAGCACCAGGCAGGTGGTACCCATGCAGATGCATTCGCTGGGAGGTGGACAACACTGCTCAGACTTGCGTTTCCTCCTGCCAGCCTGTTCTCCCCAGAGACTCTCCCTTCACCCCATTCCCATCCTGCCCACCCCAGTTGCTAACTCTCCCCCAGTTCCTGTCTCTGGGTTGAGCATCCTCAACCCAAACGTGCCTCTAACACAGAGAGTGGAGGAAGCAGATTCTGCTGTAACATGAATCTGCTAGAGTGTGTAATGGATCTGTGTAAAGAGAGGAAAAATATTTACCAGTTTCAATAGAGACGTAATGAGTCAGGATTCAGAGAGGTGGAATAGCAAACATCTCTGTTCTCTGGATGCTGTAAGGCAAAGACAGAGCTCTGCAGAGAAACTTTCATTTCATTAAACACTTTTAATACTCAGCATTAACTACAGTCCTGCTGGCAGCATTTCTTAGTAGCTACTCTAAAAGGAATATCTTGAAGCCCCACAGTGGGTTCAATAGTTAAAATGACTGTTGGACTGGCTATAACGCTGTGGCTTGGCAAGTAGGAAGCATTTTTACATATTCAGGTTCTGGTGGAATATTAAAGGATCCCAGCATACGAGAGGCAGATGCTTCCTTCTCTAGGGGTGAAGTTGGAAGCTAAATGTTATCCAGACTACTGCAGCGAGTTGGTGGTGAAGCGTGCTGGAAAACAATCATAGAACAGGTTGGGTTGGACCTTAAAGCTCATCCAGTTCCAACCCTCTGCCGTGGGCAGGAACACCTTCCATGAGAGCAGGTTGCTCCAAGCTCCCTGGGACTGCAGGTGCCAAGTTCTTCCCAGAGTGGTTTAAGCAGTCTCATTTCTTGTGTTTCATTACCACAATAGCAGCATGTCTGATTGCAGAGAAACCACTGTAGAAGCAGATCAAACAGTGAATGGGAGGGTTTCCTCCTGGATCTGAGGCAGCATGGTTGTGGCTGTGGTTGCAGGGAAGTTGGGCATAGCACAGCAAACTCTGTTCTTGAGAACCTCCAGCTTAGTCTGAATCCTCCCTATTGTGGTGTTCTGGCATGGCTGCAGCCACAGGAGAATATTACCAGCCTTCCCCTAGCACAGACAGCAGTTAAGGAGAGCTGGGAAGCAGAAAGGTCAGGCCCTGCTATAGATGAGCATGTCCAAGAGGCAGGAAAGAGCATCTTCAGCTGCAGTGAACAAGGCAAATGGTTGTACACAGAGGCTCTGGCTTTTGACTGGGCAAAGTTTCAGTCGGTGTTTTTGAGTGTGTTCCCAATGCTGGAATCCAAGTTGGCTGGTAAAAAATGCCCACCCCTTTTATTGGAATTGGCACCCACCTCCTCCTCTCTCAAAGCAATGCTTGGGTGGGATGGCACACACATGGTGTGGCACTAGCCTGTGATGTGGCCTCAGGCAGGTTTCTGTTTGGTGCTGCGTCTACCTGTCACCCTCCAGGCACAGCTTGTTCCCAGCAGAGGCTCTGTGCTCATATGCAGCTCTGCCAACCGGGACACAGAGTCTTTCGTGGGATGTGCCATGGCTCATCAGGTTCCTTTTCTAGGATCTTGCAGCAACATGAGAAATGAATCCAGTGACCATCAGGGCCCACAACTGGGCAGTGGTTTCTTTTGTGACTTACAGGTGTGTTGCCTTTATGGGTCTCTGCCCTTAAATACTTGCAGCGTGAGTGAAACTTACCCAGCTCCTTCTGTCGCCCAAGGAGTCCTGTTCCCCCAGTGTACAACTTTGTGATCAGCTGCCATCCTCCAATCTGACAGCTTACAAGCAGAAGCCACTTTATCCTCTTCCTTATTAAATCTGACCCCTGGTACTTTGCACGCCTCCCGTGTCCTTCCTCGAATGCCTGTTGTTTGGGAGGGTCTTAAAATGCCGCATCGTTCCCATGGCACTGTGATTTGAAGGTTAATGGAGGACATTCATACATGGGATCTCCAAAGTGAAAATGCTGAGGCACGTTTCTGCCTTGTGAACAGTCAGCAATGGGTGACCTTGTTTGAAGGCAGCAGTTTCCCTCCCAACCCCTATGGGCAGCCTTTAAACACTTAAAGCCCAGGTACATCTCAACCTTACTGGAAGTGTTTCAGTGGCTCTGTTGTGGGGTAGCTGTGGTACAGTGATGAGATCATTGCCTGTATCTGGAAAGCAAGACCTGCAAGTGCTGAGTGCCATGTGTTGGAGAGGGTATAATAAACACCTCACCCCATTGTGGTCTGGTGCTGGGGAATTGTCCCCTCCTTAGACAACACCAGCTTGTAAGTGCTTCCAGTCGCTGCTGAGGCACAAACATGCTGGATCTAGTGCTAAGGAAAGAGTTGACTCTCCACAGGGGAAACTATAGGCTAAAAAGTGAACAAAACAACCAGATTCTGCTTTTGGCTATGGAGATAGCAGGAATTCAGTGCTCCCTTTTAGTTGCAGTGCTGGGAAACAGGCACTGCAGCCCATCTCTTATCAAAGAGCTGCTGCTAAAGGGAGGAAAGCGGACATCAAATATTTACTGTCAGATCAATTCTGTTTAAAGTGCAATGTTTGTAGCAGAGCTTGGACACAGGAAGGTCAGGTGTAAGGATCAAGGCTGCATTTATATAAAGACAGAGGAATATGCACTGGAAATCCTTGCTTGGAAAGGGAAAAGGCCAGAGGATATGGAAAGGCACACTATGAGGAGCTTCATCTTTGTCCTCACACTGGGCATTTTCTCATGTTCAGGTAAGTTGCTCAGAGGAGCCGTGGCCTCTTTCTTACAGTGGTTTAGGAGACCACAGTGAACCTCTAACGGAACTGTGCCTTCATCTCAGGCTTTCCAGTGTACGACTATGATCTCCCTGTCACAGAAGAGGCTCTCAATGCTTCCATTGCAAGGATCAACTCTCAGTCACGGGGGACAAACCTGTATGGTGTTGTCAGGAGCCACGTCACAAGAGTAAGTGCACAGAGAATCAGCATTCCTTTCCCTGAAATATGCTTTGTTCTGATGGAAAACTCTTTTTCATCCAACCCTGAACCCCCAAATTTAGTTGGAGTTTTTTGATGCTGCTTGGAAGAGGGTGGGTTTGGGGCATTATCTGGAATGATGGCTTTGGGAACTGAAATGTTCTTTTCTTTCTCCAGTCTTTATTTATGTCTTCTGTCTCCATGCACCAATGCTGGTTTAAATCTGTTAGTGTCTAAATACAGGGAGGAAATTCTTTATCTGCTTTAATTTGCATTGCTAAGAATGATGTTGGGTACCCAGAATTAAGGAGTAACATGCTGTAACTATTCTGTTTCTGTAGATGGCATGTATCAAATCCTCTGCAAGGATGAATGGCAAGATGACTTTGGGATTGATCTAATTTGGAAAACTACTTGAAAGCAGTGGGGATTTGTTGGTTGTTGGGTTTTGGTTTCAGTGGGGAGTGGGGTGAGTCTCCCAGCTTGAGCTAAAACACTGCTTAGACTGCCCATGAGGCACCTGAGCAGACAATGCAAGACTGTATTAACTGTGTTAATTCAATTGCCTCCAGTGGTGGGGTTTACTTTCTAAGCCTATTTACTTGCACAATAGGCTTCCCAGCAGTCTAGATATTCAAAGCAGAGCTGTTAGCACCCTGCTTCCTTCAGAAGATGGGGTAGCACACTGGGTAATGGTATGCTTATCTACCTCTGAGAGCTCTAAGTCCCTCCAGCTGACTCTGAGCAGTAAGAGGATCCTGCAGTGGTTGTAGGGATTCAAGTGAGACCCCCATGGAAAGCTGTTCTGTGTTGCTGACTAAGAGACAAATTCCTGAGCACAATAAAAGAGACTTTCTCACACACAGTAATCGGCTCTAAATTGGGCACTGAGCCATAATGCCCTTATGTCGGCTTCTGCTTGACAAAGAAGCAAGGTTGCCATGTAGCAGGCATAGAGGAATGACAGGCACTAATTACGTATTGTCTTGACCTTCCTTTGACCAGGTTGACATGTGGAACAGTGATGCCTATAGACTGGAGCTGCAGTTCAGCATCCGTGAAACAGAGTGCACGAAAGCGTCGGGGAGAGACCCGTTCACATGTGACTTCAGAATTGGGCCTTTTGTGGTAAGTGAATGTGGTGTGAATGTGAAAACCCAAATTGATGTAGGATGAAGGACTTGAGGGTGTTGGATGGGGAGAAGCTCCCAGTGACCTGACAGGACACGGGTGGTTTCTGGGCTGCACCCCCAGAGCATGAGCAGCAGCACAGGGAAGGGATCCTGCCACTCTGCTGTGCTCTGGGGAGACCCGCCTGCAGTCCTGATCCAGCTCTTGGGGCAACAGCACAAGAGAGATGTGGAGCTGCTGGAGCAAGGCCAGAGGAGGCCATGGAGATGCTGCGAGGGCTGGAGCAGCTCTGCTCTGGAGCCAGGGTGAGAGAGCTGGGCTGGGTCAGCCTGGAGAAGAGAAGGCTCCTTAAGGGGAGACCTCAGAGCAGCTCCAGTGCCTAAAGGGGCTACAGGAAACCTGGAGAGGGGCTTTGGACAAGGGCCTGTGAAGACAGGCCAAGGGGAATGGCTTTAACCTGCCAGAACAGGGGAGATTGAGATGAGCTCTTAGGCAGAAGTTCTTCCCTATGAGGGTGCTGAGGCGCTGGCACAGGGTGCCCAGAGAAGCTGTGGCTGCCCCATCCCTGGCAGTGTTCAAGGTCAGGTTGGAGACAGGGACTTGGAGCAACCTGCTCTAGTGGAAGGTGTCCCTGCCTGTGGCAGGGGTTGGAACTGGATGAGCTTTGAGGTCCCTTCCAACACAAATCAGCCTGATTCTACAATGATTCTATGAGATGTTGAAACACTATTTTTCCTCTGTGAATATCTGTAACCTTACCTGTCCTTCCTGGGCACAATGGTTAGGAAGCAGGAGGGATTCTGGGAAGACACAGGACAGATGCTGCAAAGGCTTTCCTCATAGCTTATGAGTCATGCTACTACCTCAGGAGGTAGTCCACTCCATGAAGAGTGGAGCAAACATCTCAGAGTATCACTGCTCTTGAGCTAAGCACCTTGTGTGTGCATGTAGGTGGGATAACATGAAACTGATGGTTGTTGCTAGATATTCTTCAATGATGCAAGGGTTGGCTGCTGTGAAGTTATCACTATATCCTGGACAGACACCATCCCTCTGCTTTTCTTCTTGGGGAAATGCAGTATGAAAGGTAGTGTGAGGACATATTCTGTTTCCAAACTTGGGTGCAGGTTTTGCTGGAGCTTCTTAAAGGTAGCTGACTTAAAGGTAGTTTAACTTGTAGAGCTGGAGCTCCCATCAGCATAGCCCTGGACAGCCCTTCTGCTTGTGCTTGGTGATGCCAAAGCCATGAAAAGGAGTTAGAGATTTTCTTCTACCTCAAGCAGGCTGAAGGCTTCATACAGCTGACATGTAATTGTAGAGCAATGACTTGGGTGTAGTCATGTGCTGTCAGAATATATTTACCTGACTAGAGTCTGCTCTGATAATGTGAGAGGTGTACGATCTTCCGCTTGGAATTTAATCCCTGTACAAGTTCGCATCCCCAGTGAAGGCCCCGTGAGAGGGTTTGTCCTGTGGCTTTGCTCTATGAGATTTGCTCTGGTTTGATCTGTTACAGCCAACCACTTTCTGCAGAAGTGTTGTGGAAGTCTCCGATGAGCTCATCTCCAACATTGTTGTGCAGTGCCATCAAGGTGCATCCAGCTCCGAATCACTGAGCAGTGAGGAGGTAAGGGAGGGGAAAGCTCAGTTTTACTGCTTGGGGAGCAAAAATTCAGCTCATTCTCTTTAAAGGAGGTCAGCTGCAGCTGAGGTTTTGATCACAAGACCCAGCTGTCTCCTGTAACACTTCACTTGCCATCAGCTGAGAGGTTTGACCTTGCCTGATGGATGCCTAGGGAGAGTGTGAATCTCTGCAGCAGTCTGGCACATCCACCAGCTCCTTCTTCATTGACACAATGCCTGGAGAAAAGTGATTGACACGTCTTAGGCAGAAACAGATACCCCTGTCTCTGGCTTTGTTACCAAAGCCAGCTCCCAGCTGAGCATAATCACAGTACAACTGAAGAACATTTGCTCTACTGAGATTTGTATGCTGTTTTTGAGCTCTTATTTGGGTTTAAGGTGTGATTAAATGCCAACCCAACCTGTGAATTCCTTGAGCTCTTCACATCATGCTCATGTCCACTTTTTCCATGAACTGACACATGAACCTAGGTGCCTGCAGCAGAGCTCTGCAGAGGGTGTTGTCCTTGAGGATTATATACAGGGAGCCAGGATAGTTTCACAAGCAACGTGCCAGAGGATAGGGACAGCCTTTATTTTGGGGAAGTGTGAGTAACTGAATGAATAACTTGCAGCAAATGGGATTCTGTGTCGCTTTTCCTTGCTTTGAATTGCCAACGTGGCTTCCCATTTAGTTTTATTTTTACATCTTTGTTGTTCAGGCTCTATTCACAACCATGGAGTGAATGCACCACAGGAAGCCTTGCTTTGCAGAACAGAAAGGCTGCATGTGAAGTACTGAAATATGTAACATAGTCTGGGATGCTCAGTCTGTCCTCTGTGGGTTAAGCATAACTCTTGTTTAATAGGGCACTCAGTATAAACACTTGTTTTTACAAGCAGGCATCTTTCTGCGAGTCTTCTTTAACTATCACTTAAAATTCAGTCCTGCTGCCAATACTCCTGCTAGGGAATATATTTCCTGCAATGTTAATAAGAAATAAATGCCAAAGGGAATTATTGCACATGAAAAGGGAAGTATTTCTTTCTGCAAAGACCTGCAGCAATTGCACTGTAGCTCTTGCTCTAGAGCTGTAACTCAACCTGGCTGAGATGATGTGGTGTAGCTCCTGTAGGCTGGTGGCATTTGAATAGGAGAAGGAATTGTGACTGGCTGAGGCTGGGCACATTTTACTTGGATAGAGAGCAACAAAAGAAGAGTACAGAGAGCTTTTAAAAGAGTAATTTGGGCTAAATGAGTCACAAAGGTGCCCTGTGTGACTGCAGCAGACTAACTCTGCTCTGCAGGCTCTGCTGGCCTGGCTGGAGAAGGTCAGGTAAGGTATGAAGGACAAAAGGTTTTGACTGGAGAGCCTGCAGACTTCCTTAGCAACATCAGTGCTTTGCAATAGTATCAGCAGAGATCTTGTTTTCAGAGGAGTGAATAACGACGTTTGGGAGTGATCACACAGTACATGGGGAAATGGAGGAGAGGGACACTTCTGATAAGGTCTGATAAGAAACATCTTTCCTTTACAGTTTATGCACATGCCCGTAAAGAACCCCAACAGGCGAGGCAGCAGCCCCAGAGAAGGTAAGCCATTCCTGCCATGCTGGACTACCATGTGCTTGCCTTTTGGATCATCTGCTTGGACCACCTGAAGATCATCTATCTGAGGGACCAGGAAAGCAGTTTGCTCAGGTCGTAGCCAGCTGCTTTTTCCATTGCAGAGGGGTGTTTCATTGAGGAAGTGTGAAGCAGGCAATGCTGAGGCTTGTGTGGTCTGTGTACATGTTTTCTGGATGACCAGATTTGTGCTCTTGTAACTGTGCTGCATCCCCAGCAGTGTGAGCAGCACCTCAAAGGAGGTGATCCTGCCCCTTTGCTCTGCTTTCATAAGACCCCCCTTTCAGCACTGTGTGCAGTTCTGGTGTCCTCAGCGTGAGAAGGATGGAGCAAGTCCAGAGGAGGCCACTAGGATGATCAGGGCCTGGAGCACCTCCTGTATGGAGACAGGCTGAGAACATTGGGGCTGTTCAGCCTGGAGAAGAGAAGCTGTGTGGAGACCTCAGAGCAGCTTCCAGTGTTTGAAGGGGGATACGAGGATGCTGGAGAGGGACTCTTCATCAGGGAGTGTCGCGATAGGACAAGGGGTGATGGGTTCAAACTGGAACAGGGAAAGTTCAGGTTAGAACTTAGGCAGAAGTTCTCCCCTGTGAGAGTGCTGAGGCACTGGCACAGGGTGCCCAGAGAAGCTGTGGCTGCCCCATCCCTGGCAGTGTTCAAGGCCAGGTTGGACACAGGGACTTGGAGCAACCTGCTCTAGTGGAAGGTGTCCCCACCCATGGCAGGGGATGGAATGGATGAGCTTTAAGGTCCCTTCCAACACAAACCGTTCTATGATTCTGTAATGAGTACTTCTGGGCATCCTTGAGATTGTTTTGATGTTATGTGAAGTGCTGAATGAATGCATGTTTGAAAGTATGTAATGCTCATGTATGTCTCTGTATTCTTCTTTTCAAAGACATATTTGCTCCTGAAGCTTTCCCTTCAAGGGGAAGAGGCAGCAGCCGTGGAGACTGGCATAAACCCAGCTACTTCAGCTCTGACAAGATGGAATAATACCCTTTGGGTGAGTAAAATTCAAAGGGTAGCTTTTGTGCAGTTTTGCAACAAGGTGGGCAAGTGACTCAGGATAAAGGACCTCTTTGAGAATGTGCTTCTTGGCTGTGAACAAGCTCGTTTGCAGGCCATATCTTTGTGCTGAATCTAATGCAACAGGGCACCGAGGCTACACAGGTCAGCAGACAAAAAGCGAATGTGTAATATGGTATCTGGGAGAACCAAGATGAGGTTTACTCAGGGCACATGTTTGTTGCAGAGAAGCTGTGAAGGAGATGTTTGAGTTAATGGGAATGATATTAGATGGTGTTCATGCTTCATTGCAGCTGGCAAGGTCTATCCTACACAAACCAGCTTTGCTGTTCTACTTCTAAGGCTTTATGTGGGAGCAGCTGTAATTGCTGCTGATATTTCACCTGCTGTCTGATGGCGTTAATCTAAAGGGAAGAAAGAGCTTTAGGAACACAGAATGGAGGATGTTCTTTGGCATGCTAACCAGTTCTAAAGTAGCTGGAAAATGAAGACGAAATCACTTAGCACTATGTCTTTGTGATTAAAAGGCTTGCACACACGCTTGGGTACATCTCATTAGCAGGTCCCTGTCCCTGCGGAAAGTGCCAGAACTTAATGCTCCATGTGCATGGAGCTCAGTTCAGGCCTGCTGCATTGGCAACAAGACAGCCTTAGATGACTCACCGAAAACTTAACATGTTACTCATAAGCACATCTGTGATATATCTGTATGTGCTGAAGGAGATGTAACCCCTACTCTCCTGAAATGTAGATCTGAAAGGAAAACCCAGTCATTCTGCTGAGGCAGGTCTTTATTTGTGAGAAGGATTTCATTGAACCATATGCTATTTTAGTTTATCTATGAGCCAGTAAAGGTGATAGGCTGTTGTAATCACTGCCTTTCCTCTCATAAGAACCTTTAGCTTTCCTAAGTGTATTTGAACTTCCTTGAGCATATTGCAGTGTGTGCACTCTATGTCTTTCTGGGTACCTTTCATCCAAGGAGATGGTGTGAAAAGACTGAGGCTTACTGAAGAGTGGCATCTCTCAGTCTGGCTGAGTGAATTTGGGTTTTCTTCAACTGGTCTTCCAGAAGAGTTGTGTGCAAGGGTATCCATGTGCTCTGAATGGTGAGATATCCTTGTCTTGGCATCTGGAAAGTGCCAGGTATCTTAAATGAATTCTGTGGCTCTCAAGGGGAGCTGACCTTTTTAAGCAGTAATCACAAATGTTTTGTGTTCCTGTATCTAATGTCTAACAGATTTCTACACTAGAAACAAGCTGTTGAATCTCCTGGAAGGAGAATGTGAAGCAAATGGGGAGGGATTTATGGTTCTTGAAATCCTGTGCAGGAGTTGGCCTTGATGATTCCTATGGCTCCCTTCCAACTCAAGATATTCTGTGATTTTAATACTTTCTGCTTGCTTTTGAAAATGGGTTGTGTCATTTATAGAGCCGTGTTTCATATCAGTGTCCTAGGTTTTGGCCATCTCAGACAGATACATCAGGAGATTAAGGGAGAATTTCAAACCCCCTCAAAACTCCCTTTTCCTGTTGTTTTTATTCATTTGACTTATTAGGTTTAAAGTCTGGAAAGAAGTCTTATTTCTCAGTTTCACTTGTATTTAGAATTAGAGCGTTTCATCCATGGCTTCAATTTGGAGCTGCACATATCCAGATGAGTTCGTATTATTCCTGGCTTTTTCCCCTCTGTTTGGCACCTGTGGGATCATGGCTGGCATCCTTACAAGCCATGTTCTGATGGCTGTGTTTGGTGGGTAATGGAAAATACATGCTGTGTGTTGAGACGGCAGGAGCTCAGCTTATCTGAGAGTATTTTGGCAGAGGCTGAGGAAGCAGCAGTTTAATACTAGGTGACTTTCAGCTGTAATTCAAAGAACCTGTTGTTGAGAGGCAAAGCAAGACAAGTTCAATTGTCAATTAAGTAAGGAAATGTGAATATCCTGTGCCTGAGTCTATGAAAAAAGCGAGGCTAAAGTAGCTCACCAGTGCTTTGTGGCTCTTTATTTATTAGAATGTTAATATTCAAGAGGAAAAAAAGATCAGTGCAGTGGTTATATAAAGAACTTTTCCAAGTCTGCAGCCTTCAGACCCTGCTGGTGCCTGCTGGAGTTAGCAAACTGCATAGGAAAGAACCACATCAGTGATTAACGAGCTTACTTCGGTGACAAATCCTAATCAGATTTGCTGGATTTACTTCCTAGTGCATCTCCGGAACTGTAAAATTCACATGTTGTGCTGTGGGCCAACAAGGAGCTCAGGCACGTCAGCGAGAGATAGCAGGAGAGCCAGCTGCTGCACAACATCTGGTCACCCTCACAGCCTTAGCCTTCAACAGGCATTAAGGTCATCAGTTAGCTTGGCCTGCCAGGTGTGTGTAGAGTTAGTTGGAGCTGTGTTGGTCACCACAGTGTGAGCAAATGGTAGGTTCCATTGGTTTGGAACCTGCTTGATGGTGTTTGTGGCTCTGAATTGCTGGAAAAGTGGCTCAAACTCACTAACACCTTGAACCCCAGAAAGCAAAGGAAAAGGGCCCCAACACTCTTCTCTTCCAAAATCAACTGCCTAAGGCAGGTTATGTTCCTCAGGGTGGAGTCTGACCTATGACTGCTGTAGGGAGTCTCGCCAGCAGTGCTTCATTTCCTTGAACAGGAAAACTGAGAAGAAAGCTCCTGCCTTTGCTTGTAATATGCATGGAGATTGTGAATGCTGATTCTTACTGTTGTTAATCACACAAGGAAAGTATAATTAATGCCAAATTCTGTCTGAATCAAGCCAAGGGACTGTGACAATGGCTCTTCGGCTGAGTTCTCACCAGGCAGAGCCCCCAGCTGGTGGGAATGTGGCAAGGGCAGTTGTTAGAAGCTGATTAGCAGCCTTGCAGAAGCAGAAGTGAATGGCCTGGCATCATTGAATAGTAGTGGTTTGTTTTCAGTGGAAGAATAACATCAGGCCTCTTGTCAAACCCAAGAAATCCAGGATCCAACCTTCAGAGTGAAATGGATGCTTGTTGGGGTGTCTTCTACAAAAACAATAATGCATCACCCTCCTGGGGTGTGGAAAGCAGGGCTTTTATCCCCTGTGTCCTCATTGAGAAGCTGCTCGATTTTAGTTCCAGTTTTGTATTCTCATGGCTTCATATGTTCTGCCTTTGTCTTTTCCTCTCCATTCACCCACTCCACTTTCTGCAGCTCTCAGAAATAATCTTATTGCTTTCTGGGGGAAAGAAGTGAAGCATCAGAGGGAAGGAAAATCCCAGCAGAATGGGATCTGTTGCACAGTGCCTGAGCTCCATATCCAATCAGTTTTAAGAGTGAAAGCTGGAGCAATTTATCACTTAGGCAACGTGGAGGAAATGACAAGCTGCCTTGGAGCCTGTCTGTGATAGCTAAGTCCTTGGTGTCATCTGGCTTCTATAGCAGAGAGGTCACCCTTCTTTCATCTGCTCAGAATGAAGGACTGAAGTTGAAACAGACCGAGGCAGGACCTTTCCTGATGCTCAGGTCAGATCATGGTGCTGAGTTGAAGCAGAGGTGTTACAGCAGAGAGGAGAGCTGCTGTGATAATCTCTTATCGCTATTCTGAATGGCAGTGATTTTTGCCTTGCTCTTTGTCCACCTCTTCTGGATCTGTTTTGAAGGATTAGACCGACTGAGGACTGTCTTCCAGCTTACTGCTTAATGTTGGATTTTGCAAGCAATAAAAATGAGCTTGTCAAAATATCACAAAGGTTGGGAAGGACCTCTGGAAGCCCAGCACTGGTTCAAACAGGGACATGTTCATGAGGTTTGAATACCCCAGACTGGTTTGGGTTCGAAGGGACGATTCCCTTCTGAGAGGAACAGAGGGCCCGGTATGCAGAGTTGACCCTCATCATAGGGAAGTGTGTAGTCTGCCTGGAGCCCGGATCAGGGATATCACCAGGATGCTCCCCAACCTGGTGCACCCGACAGACTACTACCTGCTGCTGGTCTTCCAGACAGGTGGGGAGGAAGCTGCTTCCCGCAGTCTGAGGGGGATGAAGAAAGACTACAGGGCCTTGGGGCGGATGGTGAAAGAGTCTGGGGCTCAAGTGATCTATTCCTCACTCCTTCCATCTTCCACTGATGATGTGGGAAGGAATGGGGAGATTCAGTCCATAAACGATTGGCTTCGAGACTGATGCTACAGGCACGGCTTTGGATTCTTTGATAATGGCTGGTTTTATAGGGCACCAGTCTGGACAATGACAAGTGGGAAAGGTTTATCTCACAGAGGCAAAAGGATGCTGGGGCATGAATTAGCAGGGCTCATTTGGAGAGCTTTAAACTAGATTCGAAGGGGGATGGGGTTGTAGCTGGGCTTGCCCCAGTGGGGCAGCACTCCAGAATTGCTGAAGACTGGGAGGCCTCCTATAATCCTAGGGTGAAATCGGTGTGCTCAGCTCGCTCCCTGGAATGTCTGTACACCAATGCGCGCAGCATGGGAAATAAACAGGAGGAGTTGGAAACCTGTGTTAAGTCAGGAGACTATGATCTGGTGGCAATTACAGAGACGTGGTGGGACAGCTCACATGACTGGAATATAGTCGTGGAGGGCTATGTCCTTTTCAGGAAAGACAGGCCAGCCAGGAGGGGTGGTGGGGTTGCTCTTTATGTGCGGGAGCAACTACAATGCACCGAGTTCTGTCCAGGGACAGATGACGAGCGAGTTGAGTCTGTGGGTGAGAATTAAGGGGCAGACTGGCAGGGGGGATACTGTTGTGGGTGTCTGTTACAGACCACCAGATCAGGGTGAGGAAGTTGAGGAGGCCTTCTACAGGCAGCTGAGAGAGGCCTCACAGTCACAGGCCGTGGTCGTCGTGGGGGATTTTAACTTCCCTGATGTTTGCTGGAAGGACCACTCGGCAACCCAGCCGCAGTCCAGGAGGTTCCTCCAGTGTATGGATGATAACTTCCTCCTGCAAATGGTGGATGAGCCAACCAGGAGAGGAGTGCTGCTGGATCTCATCCTCACCAACAAGGAGCATCTGGTTGAAGCAGTAAGGGTTGAGGGCTGCCTTGGTTGCAGCGACCACGAGATGGTGGAGTTCAGGATCTTGTGTGGTAGGACCAGTAGAATAGCAAGTAGAATTGCAACCCTGGACTTTAGCAGGGCAAACTTTGGCCTTTTCGAGCAATTGCTAGGGGAAATCCCATGGGCAAGGCTGCTTGAAGGAAAAGGGGCCCAAGATAGTTGGTTGACATGCAAGGACTGCTTTTTCTGAGCTCAAGATCAGAGCATCCCGACACATAGGAAGTCAAGGAAGAGGGCCAGGAGACCTGCGTGGCTAAATAGGGAATTGCTGGGTATGCTCAAGTGGAAGAGGAGAGTTTACAGGTCATGGGAGGAGGGGCTGGCCACTTGGGAGAATATAAGGCTGCTACTAGAGGATGTAGGAAGGCAGCTGACATGACTAAGGCCTCCTTAGAATTAAACCTGGCGAGAAGGGTCAAGGACAGCAAAAAGAGCTTTTTCAAATACATGGCAGATAAAACTAACATGAGAGGCAATGTAGGCCCACTGATGAAGGGGATGGGTGCCCTGGTGACAGAAGATACAGAGATGGCAGAGTTACTGAATGCCTTCTTTGTCTCTGTCTACTCTGCTGCAGGCAGTCCGGAAGAGCCCTGTACCCCTGAGACCTTAGATAAAGTCAGGTCAACGGAGCGGTTTGCCTTAGTCAATGAGGAATGGGTTAGAGACCAGTTGAGCAATCTGGACATCCATAAATCCATGGGTCCAGATGGGATGCACCCGCGGGTGCTGAGGGAACTGGCGGAAGTCATTGCTAGACCACTCGCCATCATCTTTACCAAGTCTTGGGAAACGGGAGAGGTGCCTGAGGACTGGAGGAAAGCAAATGTCACTCCAGTCTTCAAAAAGGGCAAGAAGGGGGACCCGGGTAACTATAGACCGGTCAGCCTCACCTCCATCCCTGGGAAAGTGATGGAACACCTTATCCTTGGTGCCATCTTAAGGCATATCAAGGATAAGAGGGTTATGAGGGGCAGTCAGCATGGCTTCACCAAGGGGAAATCATGTTTGACCAATCTCTTAGCCTTTTATGAGGAAATAACACGGTGGATGGATGATGGCAGAGCAGTGGATGTGGTCTACCTTGACTTCAGCAAAGCATTTGACACAGTCTCCCACATCATCCTCACAGCTAAATTGAGGAAGTGTGGACTGGATGATCAGGTAGTGAGGTGGACTGCGAACTGGCTGAAGGAGAGAAGCCAGAGAGTGGTAGTCTATGGGGCTGAGTCTAGTTGGAGGCCTGTAACTAGTGGAGTGCCTCAAGGGTCAGTACTGGGACCGGTATTATTTAATATATTCATCAACGATTTAGATGAGGGAATTGAGTGTACTATCAGCCAGTTTGCTGATGACGCTAAGCTGGGAGGAGTGGCTGACACGCCAGAAAGCTGTGCTGCCATCCAGCGAGACCTGGACAGGCTGGAGAGTTGGGCAGGGAATAACGGGATGAAATATAACAAGGGAAAGTGTAGAGTCCTGCATCTGGGCAGGAACAACCCCAGGTTCCAGTATAGGTTGGGGAACGACCTGTTAGAGAGCAGTGTAGGGGAGAGGGACCTGGGGGTCCTAGTGGGCGACAGGATGACCATGAGCCAACACTGTGCCCTTGTGGCCAAGGAGGCCAATGGCATCCTGGGGTGTATTAGAAGGGGGGTGGTTAGTAGGTCGAGAGAGGTCCTCCTTCCCCTCTACTCTGCCCTGGTGAGACCCCATCTGGAATATTGTGTCCAGTTCTGGGCCCCTCAGTTCAAGAAGGACAGGGAACTGCTGGAGAGAGTCCAGCGCAGGGCAACTAAGATGATTAAGGGAGTGGAGCATCTCCCTTATGAGGAAAGACTGAGGGAGCTGGGTCTCTAGTTTGGAGAAGAGGAGACTGAGGGGTGACCTAATTAGTGTATATAGATATATAAAGGGGGAGTGTCACGAGGATGGAGCCAGGCTCTACTCAGTGGCAAACAATGATAGGACAAGGGGTAATGGGTACAAACTGGAACACAAGAGGTTCCACTTAAACTTGAGAAGAAACTTCTTCTCAGTGAGGGTGACGGAACACTGGAACAGGCTGCCCAGGGAGGTTGTGGAGTCTCCTTCCCTGGAGACATTCAAAACTCGCCTGGACACATTCCTGTGTAACCTTACCTAGGTGTTCCTGCTCCGGCAGGGGGATTGGACTAGATGATCTTTTGAGGTCCCTTCCAATCTCTAGCATACTGTGATACTGTGACCTCAAAGCTGATCCAGTTCCAACCCCTGCCATGGGCAGGGACACCTTCCACTAGAGCAGGTTGCTCCAAGCCCCTGTGTCCAACCTGGCCTTGAACACTGCCAGGGATGGGGCAGCCACAGCTTCTCTGGGCACCCTGTGCCAGCGCCTCAGCACCCTCACAGGGAAGAGCTTCTGCCTAAGAGCTCATCTCAGTCTCCCCTGTTCTGGCAGGTTGAAGCCATTCCCCTTGTCCTGTCCCTACAGGCGCTTGTCCAAAGCCCCTCTCCAGGTTTCCTGCAGCCCCTTTAGGCACTGGAGCTGCTCTAAGGTCTCCCCTTAAGGAGCCTTCTCTTCTCCAGGCTGAGCCAGCCCAGCTCTCTCAGCAAAAGATTTTTTTCTTAAACTAAGCTGGAATTTCCCATATTCCCACTTGTTCCTGTTTTTTCTCATCTCTTTGTTCCCAGTGCCGAGTGTTGCAGCTGGTCCTGGTTCTTTGGCCTGCATCCCCCATCTGCAGGGCTGGGCACTACCCAGGTGCTCCTGGACAAGCTCCTCTCAGAGGGATGCTGTATCTGTCATGTGTGGATGCTCCCTTCTGGCACAAATCTATCCCTAAAATGGTATTAACCAATGTGTCTTACAGAAGAATGTCAGGTTGCCATGGTGACAAAGTTGCTGAAGATACACTGCAGGCTACAGACTGCTGTGGAAGCAGTCATATGCTCCCTTGGAAAAACACATCCCAGATTTCTTCCCCATATTGTAGCTCTTAATTCAGATGCATATCTGAGAAATCAGCTTCCAGCCTCAGCCAGCTCTGCTTTGAGACTTTGCAGTATTATTGATCTGTGTCCTATACTTACTTCCCTGTTATCTTTTCTATCAGTCTGGTTCTTTTTTGCCTTTACACCAATGAACAGCTGACATTTCATCTGTGCACATGTGGAGTGGTTTGTGGATGCACAATGACAGATTCCTCCTGGTGTGATTCTGATGCTAAACCAATCAATAAGCAGCTCAGTGAAGCTGGATGCACCTTTTTATCTGAGGCCATGGATGTTTGTTTATTTCTGTCAAGTACAAGAAAAATCCTGAGCTATGCCATTTCTCCCCCTCCCTTGTCTTAAGGTAGATCGGAGAATGAGAAGAATCAAGATTCAAAGATGGAGCATGGAAATAAAGAAGCTGATGCCATTTCCTTTCCTTTGCCATGACAGAACCATTCCATAATGGAAGTCTTTCCCTAAGCTCACTTTCTGCTGTGATGTCAAATGGCCAGTGGACAAGCTCGTGAGACGCTAAGTGCCCACACTTGTGAGTTGATAGCTGCCTTCTGATGCATTAGATGTCAGTGGGAGGACTCTCTCAGACACCTAGACACAGTTACATGTCCAGTATGTGGTACACCATCCTCTAATGATGCTATTAAAGGATCATTATTCCATCTGTTTGTTCTGCGTTGCTCTCTGGTTGCTTGTAATCTTTAGTCAAAGTAATAAACACTCCGTTTCTTTTTCTCTGGGGTGCAGCAGCTATGGACAAGGTGTCTTCCTGCAAATCCAAGTTTTAGCCCACAAGTAATCAAGCTTTAATGGATACTTGACTCATGTGGAGAGCTGAGGGAATCTGTGACAGTGATTGTACTAATTGTCATGACAAGAGTGGTTAGAATTGCTCAAAGAATCAGTGTTAGAGATACCAGCAAAAGTGATGTTAGAGATTTATTGATTCAACACAATTTGATGGCAAGGTTCACTCTACAACATGCAAAAGGAAATTGTATCAAAATTGGTGATGATTTATATAGAATTGAAGTAATGTGATGTGTACAGAAACTGGGGATATAAAGGGATAAGGGAGATCCTCCTGTTGAGTCACAAGGTTCAGCATGGACCCTTGCTTTCTGAACTTGTGACTGGATCCAGTCTTAGTCTCAAACTTGGTCAACAGTTTATGCCTAGGGTTAAGAGGTTATATGTGTGTCCAGCAGCAGTGCAGCTTTCGTTCACAGTTTGAAGGTGAATCACAAGATTTCTAACTTGACTTAAAGCTAATACACACACAGCTGCAATCCAATACCTAAACCAGTACACACACACAAAGATATATATGTATATATGTACAAATGTATGCATGCAAAAATATATATGTATATATAAAGAATCCTGTTAAAAATTTCCTTTGGGTGCAGTGAAAATGCATCAGCTTTCTCAGTAATCCTCAATGGGCTCTTTCGTTATGGTGCAGGCTGGCATTAGGGGTCTGCACACCTAATTCACCTAGTGCAGATGTGACCCCACTGGACACACACAAGTCATCTGTAAATAGGCAACAGAAGCTATTCTACAGAAGCTGTTGTGTGCATAGTGAGGTACTGAAGAGGTGTTTTGTATGTAGCTGGGGTAACAGCAAAGATTCACCTTTATGCTGGGTTGGTGCACAGGCACCTGTATCAGCAGGATTATAAAGCTTGAGCAGCCCTGTGGTGAAGGGGACCTTTTCCTGACTGAGCTGCAGGCCCTGCTTCAAACTGCACACAGGAAGCTCTTGGTGCAGCCAGCAGTTTGATTCCCTGTGTGTTACTTGACACTGAGATCACAATGAAATAGCTTTCCTCTTACGAAGCACCTTGTGAAGAATGGCTTTCCACTGCACCTGGATGCAGTGCAAAGAAAACAGGTGAGGAGCTTGCAGTTCTTGGATTGAGTATGTTTTTCCCCCTGTCTTTCTCTATGTCTTTGCTTTCCTGTTTCCAGCTCTGTTTCTTTACTTCTGAATGGAAGAGGCCTCTGGGAGAGATGCCCATTGACTGAGTGCTGGATATCCAGCTAGGTGTTTTCTGTCATGCTCATGATGGCTTTGTGGCAAACTGGATCAAAATAAGAGGTGAATTTCCTAAGACAGAAACAGGCAAATTAGTTGGATGTCTGGTGGGAATACAAGTGCCATTTAGTGCTGTAGAAATCTTCAAAACACTTGGATATAACAAAGCTGAGTTTGAAGATCTGCTCCCATCTCTGTTCCCTCCCCCCACCCAGCACACTGTCTTGGTTTGCAGTTTTGCTGCTGCACTCGCTAGTACCCAGCTCTCTTGCTCAGTAAGTGGTGGTCATGGGAGCTGCAGAATGGATCATCAGCTCTTTATCAGTTATGTAACTGTCCCTCCTTTCAGACTAAAGCAGCTCTCCCATCTGGTTTGACTCTCGGTTCATTTTCCCTACTGACTGTACTGACTGCTGCAAGGTAACCCAATTTCTATCTCAAAAGTGTAAGAACATGTAGTCAGAGCCCTCAATGGTTAGCAGTAGGAAATAGAAGGAGGTGGAAGGTACTGTTAACATGTAGAGGTCCAGCAGGGGAAGGGCTGTTTTCCTTTCTCGTGGTGATTTTGCTTTGCCTCTGTCAACAGGAGTGGGAACATCACCCCTTCAAGTAATCTTTGCTGAGCATCTTCTTCCTAATAGCAGTGACTTCACACCTTTGTGCTGATTTTAGGTAGACCCATGACTCTTCATTTAAAAGCTGGTGGAAAGAACCAGCTTAGCTACTTTCTGAACCTCCTGAGCTCAAGTGATCATGCACCTCGTATACTCATGTAGATATGAGTATCTTCCTGTCCTAGGCAAAGTATGGGTGAGCAGAACTTTCTGGGCTGTTCCTCCAGAACCTGACTTTATCTCCTGGATGGAATGAGGTGGATTGACACATTAGCCAGCTTCAGCTGTGCTTGTGCTCTTCCCTATTTCATTCTTGCTTTTCCCAGTTCCCAACAGGCAGCATAAAAGCAGTTGTGTTTTGCTGGTGGAGGGTAGTGTCAGGCCTCTGCATCAGTGAAGTAGGAGGGGAGCATTTTGTACAAAATCCTTATCTTGTGGCTCTGTACATCAGGGAAAAGAGACAGAAGAGCCTATTGAGTTTGACAGCTGTCCTGGGTTCAGCAGTAGCAGTCATTTTTCCCCTTCTTGGTAGCTGGTGCAGTGCAATGTTTTGACTTTCAGCTTGGGAACAGAGCTGATAACAAGCGATGTTTTGGTTTGGCCAAGGACTTTGTGAGCCTCATGCTCTGCCAGGGAGGAGGGGAAGCCGGGAGGAAGCAGAGACAGGACAGACCCAAAGACCAAAGAATTATTCCATACCACAGCACGTCATGCCCAGGATGTGACTTTAGCCGGAAGGGCAGCAGGGTTGGAGGAGGTGTCGGTCAGAGCTTGGTCGGGCTTTGCGAGTATCGGTCGGCTGGTGGTGAATGATGTATTCTCTTCCCTTGTTATTTCCTTTATCATTATTATCATTGGTGGTAGCAGTAGTGATTTGTGTTATAAGTTACTAAACTGACCCGTGGAGCTCCGAGAGCAGGGGGAACGAATTACCTGACTGGGTTTAAACCACGACAACAGTGAAGTAGAAAACTTGTCTTTGAGCTAAGGATGGGCTAGCTGACCCTGGAATGAAGAATAGAGCTCTTTCAGGTGTTGTATCTTTGGGAAAATAACCATCTGTAAGCAAACAAGAGTGGAGCAATGTTTTCCTTCAGGAAGCTACTTTCAGCATCATCAATTTATTTTCTCTGCCCTCTGCAGACAGAAGTTTGGTGGCAGGGATCTGTCCCCACAGTGATTTCCATCACTCACAGGATACGCTGCCAGTACCTTGTCACTGGCAATGTGTGGGCATTTAGATTATTCTGCATTCACAATTGTTGTCTGAGCTAAAGCAACTTACTACTGTTAAAGAATGAATGAAAACTGGGCTTGCATCTGACCTCCAGATATGACCCTTGTATAGGAAAGGTCTGATCTCTTAGCATTGCTAAAACAAGCTAAAACTTAGACGGCAGGACTTTGCAGTCATGTCCCTTGGGAACAAGAGCAGGAGCTTGTCTGCAGGCATCATTGTAGCAGATGCATTGGGTCTAACACCTTCTTTTGACAGAAACAAAGGCCAGCCCTCTCCAGCTTGCTTGAGACACCTCTATGCTAATCATAGAATCATAGAATATAATCATATGTGAGCATCCAAAAGAAAACCCCAATTTTTTCCCCCAGCAAAAGGGATTACGAGTACTTCAAGCTCCTTGCTGCCAAGAAACAAATACCTTCACACCTAGAAGCTGATGTAGCATCTGCTGTGCAGATGCTTATCTGGCGCTAGGGAGTAATATTTTCTTTGCCTGCATTACTCAAGTCTTTTGTGGTCTCAAGTCTCTGTGCTGACTCAAGCACTTGTTGCTCCAACATAACAATGGTAATTGCTACGGATGTTCCCTTCCGACTCCCATGTCTGAGAGATTGGTCTGAAACATCACAGCGGTGCCAAGAGCAAATCTACCCTCACTGTGACTGAAACCTGGAATCGTACCGCAGTCGTGGTTCTGTTTGGATTCAGCCACATCCTCACAATTGAGACTCCCAGCCTTATGTAGACTCCAAAACTGCCTCCCTCAGAGGGAGAAAGCTTTATCATCAAGCTCTTCTTGCAGTCTTGCACCAAGAAATGTGTTGACTTGTCCATTGGCATGCTATGTTGTCCATGGCCACTCTTCCCAAGCTCTGAGTCCCCCCAAAACCAGGGTGTTACACTGGAGTTCATTAAGTAACGTACCACCTTTCTTTGTTGTACAAGGCACATCAGAATTCTCCATTTAGCAGAGAAAGGAGGGATGCTGCCAAGAGCAAAATGCAGAGCAAAGTACCCCTAGGAGGAGGCAGGATCTGTGTAAGCAGAGCACTAGTTTTGCTTCTGGATTTTCCTTGGAGAGTGAAGATTTATGCAGCAGCAGGGACAGAGAGAGCTTTCCCTGCACCTCTTAGAGATACTACTTGCAGTGGAAGGAATGTGCAGAGTAGAAATTCTCCCCTCATAGACTTTGAGGTTGTTCAGAAACTCTGAGAGAGCAAAAAAGAGAGCTATGTCTGAAGGGAGACAGCAAAACCACAAATTCTTAGACTGAGGCTTGCTGCATACAGGGGCTTTGTGCAGATTGTTTGAGCTTTGCCACACCAGAAGGTAAAAATGTAGTCACCTTTCAATGCAGAGCAGTTGCAGGATGAGGAAGGAAGTGAAGAAGCATTGATTTGGACTTGTTCAATAACATAAGGAATTAGTAGGAGCATCTGCAGCTGCTGCTGAGGCAGTGTCAGGGGACCTGTCCCTGCATAGTGAACATGTCCTATGCAGACCTCCAGGACCTCAGTTTGTCCCTGTGGAAGGTGGGAAACTGCTGACTCTTTGCTGTCTTTTCAAAAGCAGTAAAACCTACACTCACGGCAGAATTAATCCTCTTCACATGTGTTTTCTCCCTCCTTTTTTCAAACTAAATCCCTCTTTATGCTGGCAGTCTTTGAGCAGGACTTCCCATGGTGTGGTGTGGATGAAAGACAACACCATGTGGTAATGTTGCAATAAAAACAGGCTCAGTTCCCTTCTTGCCCTTCAGTCAACACT